CTCGTTTTTCATTTTGGTTAGGGTTGCTATGTTTTGATGCCCATATCTCCTATGCCACACTTCTGCACTCAATTCTGCCTTTTCTTGAACTATTTTGTCTCTTGGTTTATCAATTTCTGCTAAATACAAATTATTTACTCTCTTGCCCGTCATCATTAAAACTCCATCTTTTCTTCTTATTTCACATGTTCCACTTTTAAATTTTACTATAAAACCCTTTTTCTCAAAAGTACTTATGGAAATTAAGTTTTCTGCGATATCTGGTACATACAAAACATCTGTTACATTAATATATTTATAGAAGCAGTCTTTGTTGGTTATCTTAACTCGGATGGTTCCACTTCCTCTTGCTTTAATAAAACTACCGTCAGCAATTTTAACTTCCTTATTTTCAATCATATTTAGTTGGGTAAATAGAGATTTGTCATATGCCATGTGGCTTGTAGCGCCTGAATCTAGATACCATTTTATGGGGTTTATTTCATCTTCACTAGTTACATTCATTGCACTTTCTTGATTTTCTTCGTTAGCATTTACAGTATTAACTTCTTCGTTGTCTTTCCCTTGCTTTCTCTCTGTCTTATTATATGCTGTACGTTTTTTATCTGCTCTATAGTAGCAGTCTTTTGCAAAATGACCTTTTTTATTACAGACCCAACAGTTGACATTGGCTTTAAATTTTTGTTTATTATTACCTAATTTTTCATTTGCTTTCGATACGCATGCAGCTTCTAGTTTCGTTTCAATGTCTGCCAACTTTAATTCAACTTCTTGAGCTTTTAAACCATTTCGAAATTCCTCCAAGGTTAATTTTTCTAAGCCCGTAGATTTCATTTGAACTCTTATGGCTCTATATGTACTTGGCAACCCGTTTAAAAGTAAGCCTATGTATTCTTCATTTTCGATAGGACAGTTGCATTGATTTAATTGGTCTCTTAAAAAATTGCCCTCTTGACAAATACTTTTCAACATTCTCGTTTTCACTCATTTTTATCGTGCTCAATTGTAGCCTTAAATCAACTTTTCTAGATGCTATTTTTCCTTCATGTATTTGCTGCAACTTATTCCATATTTCTTTTGCTTCGTCTAAATTTAATACTTGTTGTGCCTGTTGTACTTCTAGAGAAGACAATATTATTGAGGCAGCTAACGCACTCTTTTCTTCAAATATCTCAATTTCAGTGGGATTCTCCGGTTTTTCGTTTGCTATGGTGTTCCACACCCTCTTTGCTTTTAGTAGTAGCTTAAGTTGATGTTTCCATAGCTGATAGTTACCGTCATTTAATTTGATGTTTGCAGGTCCTGTTGTAATGTCCATCTTTATGGTAAACACTCAAAAAATCGGAATACACATTTCAATTTTCTCAATCGACACAGGATGGTGTACCTTCTTGAAAAACATCCGCCTTCTCGCATTGTTATTCCTCGGTCTCGTACAACTCCTTGTTTTTTTTTTTTTATTATCATTGTGGACCTGGGCCCATTACCTGTAGATTTTGTATCCGACTCGTAATGACTTAGTACTCTTATTATGTAGTTTTTATTTAGTTATACACAGATACACGCGTACTCAACATCTTTCGACAGCCATCTTGTCTACATATCTGACCTGTATATAACATAACAAAAACAAAATCCCTATGCTGTCAAAATAAGATTTCAACATAGGGTTCAATATTTAACAAAAATTGCTTAATATGTTTTTTGAATAAATTTACACTCTGTATCTGTTTAAGTGACGCTGGTAAACAATTTAATAATTTAATACACATGTAATGTGCATTCTTTTCTGTTAGAGTTAGTCTGTGATATGGGTACATTAGATTTAAATTTCTTGTATTATACTGTGATGATGAGTCTGTCATAAAATTATTCCAGTTTTTCCTTAGATACATTAAGCACTCAAAAATATACAGAGCCGATATAGTCATTATTTTGCTATTTCTAAATACCGATCTACAAGATTGGATGTAAGACATATTATTGATAATTCTTATAATCCTTTTTTGAATGATAAAAATTTTCTGTATGTCAGTGCTATTACCCCAAAACATAATTCCATATTTACAAATAGATTCGAAACTACCAAAGTAAATGATTTTTGTAGATGTACTATTTACATATTTACTAATTACCCTGATTCCATATATTACTTTACTTAATTTAGCAGCGAGTTCATCTATATGTTTTTTCCAATTTAAGTGTTCATCTAGATGCAGTCCTAGAAATTTTGTACTACTTGCTAATGCTGCTATCTGATTGTCCAGTATATTGTTAGGTCTGTTTATTTGCCAGTAACTTGATGAAAAAAGTACTAGTTGAGTTTTATCATTATTCATGATGAGACCATTCTTTGAAAGCCAGTCCTTTGTTAATTGTAAAAGTACCTCAGTTTGTGTTATGATTTCTGGCATGGTGTCTGCCCCTACCAGTAAATTTGTGTCGCCCACATAATTAATAATTTTCTGATTTGAATTTGTGGGTACTTTTGCTATATCATTTAAATATATAATAAACAATAGTGGACCTATGATACTCCCCTGCAGGATTCCTATATTGATCTTCAATTTTTCGGAGCTAAACACGCCACCATTATGATTTATTCATACTTTTTGCTCTCGGTTTGATAAATAGGAGACAATCCATTTCAGAGCCGGACCTCTAATGCCGCATCTTTCTAATTTTACTATGAGAAGGTAATGATTTAAACAATCATAGGCTTTAGCTAAGTCTAAAAACACACCCAAAGCTAGACATTTACTCTCAAAAAAATAAATGATGTCATTTGTAAAATTATAGATAGCTGTATTTATAGATTTACCCTGTCTATAGCCATGCTGACTATGACTGAATAAATTGCAATTATTCATAAAACTTGTGAGCCTACAGACCATTGCTAGTTCAAAAACTTTTGAAAATGCAGGAAGCAAACTGATGGGTCTATAATTCTCCATTAATTCCGGATCACCTTTATTTTTAAAAATTGGTTTAATGATCGACAACTTTAATTGATGAGGCACTATCCCAAATTTGAATGTGTTATTTATTATATAGGACAAAATTTCCTTCACTGCGCCAAGGCTTTTTTTCATTATATTTGCTGGAATATTATCTTCCCCGCTACTAAATTGGTTTTTTATTTTTGTGGCTAATTCCACAATGTCCGATCCCATGACCGGTGTTAGGAAAATAGACTTATTATTAATATCAATATTCGGTTTAAACTCTTTACTTTGATGGTTTGACAATAAATTAGGGATTAAGTCTAATAAAATGTGATTATAGTCATTAGCTACAGTTTGAGAATTAAAAATGTCAGATGAAGAACAGAAGCAGAAAGGAAAATTTGTGGCCAAAAGTATAAGTGCTTAAGAATTATACTCCGCGGTCGAAATTATAGAGAGTGACTCATCGCTAGCTTTTGGACTAGTAAGGGGGATGAAGCGTGCTGGGAACGAAAATCCATTGGCGTGTCTGCGTAAAAGGCAACAAGATATAGAAAATATTGAAAAAAGATAATAAAACATAACATCTAATATTTTCTACTGTTTGCTATAATCGGCATTTTGATCAATTTTAATTATTACAGCACTTTAAAACGTCCCAGTTGTGTTTTTTTAATTTATAAATTTATTATAGCCATGGAATTAGACCCTTCGTCTACGCTTATGCTATGACGTTTCTCAGGACTCTGCTCTCCACCGTTCGAGGGCATAGACTAATCGACAGAGTACATGGCGCATGCACTACTCTTTTTGTAAAGAACGTTTACGTAATTTACATTATTTACAAACTGTGATTACGAAGAAATTCACGTGAAAAAGTTTAAATATGATTTAGTTAGTTGCATAAGTAGCATACTAATATGATGCACTTCTGTGAATACAAATGTTCCTTATAAGACTTAAACGTTTAAAGCGATTGCTTTTAGGAGAGTATAATACAATTCGATATATGCAGTATTATATATAGTATATATGATGTTAATGCAGGCAAAGATATCCTAAAAAATATATCTACTGAAATTATTGAAATGGTAATTTTAAAGTGAAAAATGATACTAAAAATAATTTATCAAAATGCATAAGATTGTTATATGAGTTATGATCCAAAGTATAAATATTTCACTGGTTATATGCTGCAGTATTTTTTACTTATTGTATTGAAAGTTTGTGGTACTTTATAAATAAAAAGTAATTTAAAAAAATATAGGTACTTTCATAATTTACTTTTCTGTGAAATGTGTTTGTAACTTACTTTTTTTCTTTTTCTCATCTATTAATTAATTATTCAGGTAGATGTCTATATTTTTTCCTCTTACTATTTACATTTTTTCATCTGTAATTCAATTGTAAGGGTATGTATCATAGCATTTCTCATAAGAAAAGTTAAATAGTCAAATTTTTGGCATTAATTAAAAACAAAAACAAATCGATAAATAATAATTCAAGAATAATTCACAAAATTTGATTTCGCATTGAAAAAATAATATATCTCAATAATACGAAATTGGTTGCATCTTTCCTTAGCACCCGATCCTCCTTAATACATTAGCCATATCGTTTTTGAATATTATTTGACACTTTTCAATCGCATAGCAGTAATTTCTAGGCATTCATGATTTGCTCTAATTGCTTAGTAATATAATTATACTTAATTAATTTGTCTCTAATGAAAATAGGAAAAAGTCTATACCTATGAACATACGTTCTAAATGGATTCTGAAGATGTTTAAGGTAAATTGATGAACCTTAGGCATGTAATTTAACTAAGTAAAGATAAAAATTTCTTATAATTGTGTCATCTGGAGATTCAATCATGTTCGATTTGTATTTGTATTTCAAATGCAAAACGATTTCTTCCTTTTATTCAGAAAATAAGTAATTTGAAAATCATAATGTTCTGAATATATGTATCTTAAAAATTAATCTGCTAAGCCTCCTGATTTTTATTTATTTATAGTCAAATTTCAGTTATATATTTAGTATCAAAGAACTTACCCTTAAGAGAGACCTCTTTTAATAAATGATCCTTTACTCCATATCTTAAGCGATATCCTCTTAATTCACCATAGGTTTGGGAAGGTCTGGACCATTCTAACTCTATCGTTACTGTTGGTTCCCGTTCTATAAACCTGAAAAGTAATACATATACAGTGTGTTTCACTTAAAGTCGAAACACTCCCCGTATTTAGGATGGTGTTGATTGATTTCTAAAATTCTTTTTTATATGTGGTAGTACACAAAAATGCCTACTTTTTGATATTATATTTTTTGACGTGATCTTTTCTACGGTCTACTATCAATAAGAAGAGACCCTCAAAAATGAAAAAACATATTAGGCATTTTTTTAAGAAATAAATGGATAGCATTTTCAATTTGATCACACCTCAAAACCTTAAAATCAGTTTCATTATTATAGCTTGTACATGGTGTTCATAAAATAGGTGCAAACTTTGAAAAATTTCACTTATTGCAGTGTCCTTATATTAACAATGGAAAATATTTTCAAGATATTTTTTCATAATTTTATTAACCAAAGGTATATCCATGCAGTTTCATTGATTTCAATCACACGGGGTGCTCACAATAGGACAGCCAAATTATCTATATGTTTTATTATACCAGAAATGAGTTTCACAACGAAATAATATTTAAATATTACCGTTTTCTATTAGTCTACCATCATTTGGTATGCTCCGTTCAATTCGTCTCCACTTATTTCTAATAACTCTCCTCAAGTGATGTGGTGTTATTTGTAGACATGTTCGTCTATTACATAAATCTTCTCTGTTCTGGGGCCTTGTTTTATACATTATCTTTTTCACAGTTCCCCATAAAATGAAATCAAGAGGCGTCAAGTCTGGAGCTCTTGACGGTCACTTAAGTAACAGACTGTTGTTACCTATCCACTTTCTCGGGAAATACTCATTCAACCAATGACGTACTACTACCGAATTATGAATAGGTGCTCCATAAAACTGCAGGTAGAGATTCTGTCTTACATGAAGAGGAAATGCCTGTACTGAATCCCAGAAATCATTATTTAAAAAATTCATAAAAATCTGCATTTGGATTAACGTAAAAAAAGGACCCGATTACTCGATCACATAAAATCCCACAAAACACGTTAATTTTTTAATTAAGATTCATGTAATAGAATTGGACAAGCATGTCAATAAATAACACCACATCAATTGATGAGAGTTATTAAAAAATAAGAGGAGACAAATTGAAGAGTGCATACCAAATGATGGTGGACCAATAGAAGATAGTAATATTTAAACATTATCTCGTTGTGAAACTCATATCTGGTCCAATATTGTCAGCATCCTTTATGAGTGAAATCAATGAAACTGCATGGATATACCTTCGGTTAATAAAGTTATGAAAAAATACCTTCAAAATATTTTCCACTGTTAATACAGGACACTCTGCAATTAGTGAAATTTTTCGAAGTTTACACCTATTTTATGAACACCCTGTAAACGCAATAATAATGAAACTGTGTACTTAGGGTTTTGAGGTATAATCAAATCGAAAATGCTATCCATTTCTTTCTTAAAAAAATGCCTACTATGTTTTTTAATTTTTGAGGGTCTTTTCTTACTGAGGCCATAGAAAATATTACATGTCAAAAAATATAATATCAAAAAATAGGCCTTTTTGAGTACAACCACATAAAAAAAGAATTTTGGAAGTCGGCCAACGCCATCCTAAATACGGAGGTGTTCTGACTTTAAGTGAAACATACTATATACAGTATGACCCATTTCAAATGAAAATACGTTTGTAAAAAAGGTATTTATAGATCGATTTATTTTTTTATTTGAAAGATAGAGCTTAAAAAACCCTATTTCTAACGTAAGATTTGTATTTTCAGTTGTCAATGCTTACTTTTTATTATTATTTTTTAAAGTCTAACAAAAATAGGTTAGTTTATTTATTATTTTAATTTTGACGCCACTGGATTTTGCACCCCCTCAGTGTAGTTTATTTTGTGAAAATTTTGTGAAAAAATATTTAGTTTATTGTAAAATTAATATTAAAAGTTTATAACGAGCGTTCAAATAAAAACGTGGTCGTAGGGAGTAGCTTATAGCGACCAACTTAACCTCATTTCTCAACGAGCTGTATAGCAGCTGTCAGTTTCAATAACGTTAATGACTATATGACTTTATTTTAAAGAATAATCGTGATAACAATAACAAACAATTAAAGGAGCTGCGGAAAGTGTCCCCCTCCTTGTTATAACAATAAATTAAAGCAGCTGCTGAAAGTGTCCCCCTCCTTGTTCCAAGCACTTTTCACACCTGTTCCTCAAAGAATTAAAGACATTTTCTAAGATGCTCGGGGTATTGTTAATTTCACAAATCTTGTTTATAAGTCGAGCCTGCAGATGGTTTAAATCAGGAATAGGCAGTTCAAAAATAGTGTTTTTAAGGTAAGGCCACAAAAAGAAATCACACGGCGTAATATCACATGACCTCGGTGGAAATTCATGTTCAGCATTGAGACTTATTAGTCGATTTTGGAAAACTTCCCTCAACATATTCATCGTCTCGTCTGCCGTATGTGCCCTTGCGCCATCTTGTTGAAAGTAAAAGTTTGTAATTTCGTTTTCTTCCAGCTGGTTAACAAAAGGAGCGATAATTTCTTCTCTATACCTTTGCGCAGTAAGAGTACCATTAAACAAAATAGGTCCATAAATCCTCCTTCGATTGAGAGCACACCAAACTCCAATTTTTTGAGCGTGTAGAGGGCCCTCGACAAAAAAGTTATCTGGTTTTTCAGAAGACCACATTCTCATATTCTGTGAGTTTACGTAACCACTTAAATGAAACCAGGCTTCATCAGAAAAAAAGGTGATATTATGAAGTTCACCGTAGTTGTTTAAAAACCATTCACAAAATACAGCCCGTCGCGGAAAATCAACTTCATGAAGTTCTTGCTGACAAGTTAAACGATAGGAGAACAAACGCAAATCTTTTTTTAACACTGTGTGGCAGGTACCGACTGATACTCCCACCATTTGTGATAAAACACGTACAGAAGTTCTTGGCGCATTTTCCATTATTTGTTGGACATTTTCTTTTAATTCTTCAGTCCGCTTTTTAGGTCGGCCGCTTCCTTCTTTTCTTGTTACACTGCCCGTTCACGAAAAACATTAAAACAACGCTGAACTGCACTTTGAAAAATTTTGTACTTAACAACGCCGGGAAATTGATTTTGAAATTCTATGAAACATTCCTCAATAGAATACTTCCATATTCCATCAATCTTGCGTCCATTTCTAAAGTAGGACTCTATGATAAACACTTTTTGTTCTTGAGAAAACACCATTTTAAACGCTTTTTAAAACGAAAATATTCAAATTGATAGCGGCGATATAGCGCTTTGACAGATGACGTTTAAGTTCATTTGCTATACGCTACGCCCTACGTCCAAATTTTCAGAACCAACTTGACCACGTTTTTATTTGAACGCTCGTTATAATTACCTTCCTTCTTAAATGGGGTAAGTAAAAAATCAAATAAACACATAAAATGTTTATTAATTGTTCATCTTAAATGTGCAGTTCTGAATTAAACAATAATTTTTCATTTTAACGAATGAATGGAATATAATTACACATAATATAAAAAAAAACGTAAGCTATGATCATACACAAAAATTGCTCCGTAATAAAAAATTTTTGACATTTTCATTAAACACTCATTTTTTTTCTATACATTTATTACATTGCTTGTTAACACGTTCACTGCGGCTCCTTATTAGCGCACTTGTTCTATACGCTGAACATGTTTTTTGAAAAATTGAATATTTTTCCAAAGAATCCCAAATATTCCAAATTTTTCTGCATCCGGTAGGCACTTTTGGCGTTTTCCTATGCCAGTGACACGGATCTGTGTCATCAGCATTATTTCTTTGTTATATGTTGATCGGTACTGATCTGTGTCACTGTTTTTTGCCATTTCCCTTATAAATACGAAAATTAATCAAATAGCAAAATTTCACACAATATGGGGTGATTCAGTCATAATGTCATTAATTTTAACCACGTATTCAGAAGGCTTAATAAAGACAGAAAATCGGAAAAAAATTTTTTACTCGACTTTTAAAAATGAAGGAAATCAACCCGTAATTCAGTTCCTAGCGGGCAGCCGACCAGAGCACACGTGTTTTGTGAAAGTGTAGTGCAAGGAGCAAATTCTACCTGCCTTTATTAAGGCTACCTGGAAAGAATCCCTTTCTTTCCTTTTAATCACCGACCTAATCCCCGGCTTAAGCATAGACGCCGTCGGCATCTTTGTTACAGCACCTGTGCCGGGGTTATGCCCAGGTAAGTTTTTACTTATTTATCAGTTATTTGCATTACTTTAGAATACATTTCTTTAAAATTGCGACCCCCGACAAACAATATACCAGACAGACAAATACACCAAAAGACACGTACGCCCCCGTGAGGGGGCATCCCCACACGACTAACACTTACACACCTTCCC